AAAACCTTTAGTGTTTAACTCTATACAAAAAAACGTAAAAAAACCAAAAGTTTAAAGGGTAGTTTTATTTGTTAAAATATTCGCCTGTCTGCTACCGTTCTCGTAAAAATGTTTTTAGCACATAAATTGAGCTTAAACCATTGTAGGAGGCTAAAGAACTCTCAAAGAAACTCGATGAAGAATGCAGCGAATTGGACAAGCAGATTACAGCGCTAAGAAACGAGTATAACGAGAAGCAAAAACAGTATCTAGTTTTTCATCTCCTTTATGGATGTCATCAAAAAGTATTTAGAAATGGCATCTGATAACTGATCAATAGTACAATATTGCTTGTTTCAGTTTCGACAACGTTTTGCAGTTGGAATTGTATGAGCGTAAGGAAATTGACAGACTAATCGTAAGTCTTTGGCAAAATAAAACTATTATTTCTGTATATTAAAATGTGTATTTAGAAATAATATTCTTGTATGTATACAGATGCTCTATTTTACTAGGTTGTTTCCTATCAATATTTGATATTCAAACTTTCATAAAAACATTTATACAGTTTATCCAGTTACTGGTTTTCTACACCTACTGTTTTGAATAACTTGTACACCTGCTTCTTTTTTCTGTTTCAGACAGACTACAGTCAAATTGAATTCGAATCCAATCTGCTGAAACGCCGCATCAGCGAAACCGAGGATGAAGTGGCTAGGTTACACGAAAAAAATACCTTTTATACTAGTTTATTGAATACAACACGCAAGGTATTTTGTTAATGAACAATTACCATCAACAACGGAACATTTAGTTCTAATGCCACTCTATTCTGATTTCAACATCAGTTTCTAAAAAAAAAAAAGAATTTATTTTCAATTTTCTTTTTTTTGTACTTGCTATTTTTTTTCAATCTCAATTTATCGAAAACATTTTGACAATTACGAAGACAAAATAGAAGAAACAAAAAATACACCTGTAATTTATAGGATGCAGCAGAGCAAAGGTTATTCAAATTGACTCAAAATAATGCGGCCCATGTGTTATTGGAAGAAATATCGTTGCTGCATTTGGAACAAGATCATGAGCTAGAAGAACTACAGGCCAGTCTTATACAGAAGAGCAATGATTCCTGTAAAGACAGTTTCAAAAATGATCTAACTAATGCATTGACTGAAATTCGGAAAGAACATGAACAGGTAAAATTAAACATTTTGCCAAGTGTTTGGAGTCTTTCCTTTCTTTATTTATATACTTTTAATCGTTTTATAATCATGATTTTAAACTGCATAATTCCTTCATTTAGAAGGTCAGTGCTGCTCGCCAAGAACTAGAGTTTTGGTACAAAATGAAATCCCAAGAAGTACAGCTGAATATAGATCGAAAAGAAACTGACAAACAGTTAATAGCTGAAGAGATGAAGAAACTTCAAAAACAAATAGTCAGCTTGAGGAAGCGATCTGCAGACTACGAAGAACAGGTGTGAACATGCAAAGACCACAGGACACACTGTGACTATTATAATTTGTCTATATACAGTTTTGCTCTTGTGATCAACTGGTTTTCAGAATCTGCAACTGCTGCAGCTATTTGCGGCATTAAGCGGGCAAATAAAGGAGGAACAACGGAAGCATGCAGCAGTGCTAAGTGAAAGCGACGCTATGATCAAGAATCTTTGCGAAGAGTATACAGTGCTGAATCGGGAACTCCAAAATCTCGTCAAAATGAAACAAGTAGATGACTATACGGCATGATTACTGATAGTTTTCTTCTTTTATAGCATTACCCATTCAGTAAGGAGAGTGACTAATAGCTTGACTTTTCCGTAAGAATCTAGAGTTTCCTCATCGTTAATCATTAATTAAAAAGAGAGTCTTTTTCTCTTTTGACAGGAAAAACAGAAAATGCGAAGTTGCAAGAGGTAAAAGATGGCAGTCAGGAGAGTTCGTTGTTTTCACTTGTCAGGCTTTGCTTTATTACGCAAAATACCTAATCACAGCAGCATACGAAAATGTTCCGCAATTTAAAAGCGAAATGAATTTTTAGACTAAATTCTCGTTTTTTAAAAAAATGAGTTTAAGAATTTTTACTTCTCGTTTCGTTGATACAGAAGGTGAAAAGGAAGAAAACTCCAATTATTTTCGTTGAGTGTTTCTATAGAACTAAACGGCAGAATAGACTAAAACTTTTTTTGTAGATTAAATTTTGTAGATTATTGACATTTTTTAGAGTTATGCTAAAGCTGGGAAAATTGTATGATAAGACATCGAATTTGTTGCAGAGTCTTGAAGACGAAATTGGCTTATACAGGAACTTGATGCAGAAAACAGATTCATTTGTTGGTTCCGGTACTACTGTGAAAGCGTTAAGACCAAAGCTAATAACAACAGAAGTGGAAGGTAGAAAGTTATTCGTTGTAAATTAAGATTTTCGTAGTTTCGCCTGATTATTCACTTCTTTCCCTTGTAGACACTCGACTTAATGAAGATATGGCAACAACTAGCTGGACAACGTTAGAACAACGTGGGAAAACCGATGTTATCATTGAAGTAAATTTTATTTTATTGGAAACAGCTTTAAAATTTCTCGAGTCTTTCAAATTTTTTTTGTTTTTTACTTCGAAAATTTTTTATTTTACAAAATTTGCAGGAAGTATCCACTGATGGTTGTTACATTACCATAAAAAATACAAATTCAATTAAACCTGAACCAATTGGAGACTGGCAACTTCAGCGATGTTTAGAAACTGGACCAGACGTGATCTATAAATTTCCTAGCTATTTTGTACTACAACCAAATGAAATTGTTAAGGTGAGAAAGCGACTTGTAACAGACTGAAAATTTACCTGATAGCTACTATAATTGTACTGTATTTTTGAACTTAATTATAGCTCTTACTGTCAACGTTAACAGAATTGCTGCTGATTGAGAGGGCTGCTGTAAAACAGTAAAAAAACCGTAGTTATTAAAGTACAGTTTCAGTTACTGCGAAAAACTGTTTGAGACCTGATCAGAATTGGTAGCTTTCTGACCAGACAGTGTCACATTTTTTTTAGATTTGCTCTAAAGGTACCAACAACAATGAATCAGCGGATTCATCAAACTGTTTTTGGTTCATTAAGGATATAACGTTTGAACGGAATAACAGCGGTCAAATTGAACTTTTAAATAGCGAAGGAAAAGTAATTGAATAATATCGGAATTATCAGCCTTGCTTATTTCTTGTTGATCGGCACTGCTTTTTTTCTTCAATTTAGTCGAGATTATCACATTTATCCTTCCATTTTTTTCCAGAGATTTGCAACACATTCTCAGAAAACGACTGTAACAACAACATTGCTTCGTAAAAATAATTCCATTGACGGCGACGATACTGTTGTACCAACAGAGAACGATCATCTTTTGGAGCACTAATTTTTAAAAAGATTTGCTCAATCTTTATTTAAACTTAATGTTACTTATTTTTACTGGTCTTCTTTTTCTCGCATGTGCTAAATCTTTTTTTTTTTTTGTTTTTCAAATCTTCAAAAACTTTTTTTGTAACACTTTCTCTTTCTCTATCTTTTGTCTTAAAAAAAAAAAAAATTTTTTTAGATGAAATATTGTATTATTTTCTTTTTCAATCTTATTACAATAACGTAAATTCGAATTAGAGGAAAAAAAAAAAAAGAGAAACGTGCTCAATTTTGAAAATTTTCTAACTGCATAGTCTTTTCTTTCTGTTTTTTTTTTTTTTTTTTATTAAAAATCAGTTCTGTCGAGTTATTTGTTTCTTGCGAAAAAAAAAAGAAACTTTTTTATTTATTACATAATACGTCAGGTAAGTATTAATTTAGAAACTAAAATTAACTGTTTTTTTTTTTTAAATAATTTTTTTTCAATTTGTCAAGAGTCTAACTCTTTACAAAACTGTTACCAGTAACTTTTTTTTTCAATTTTATAAGTATTTTTTCCAAAAAAAACATTGTTCTTTCAACACTAATAGCTGACCATTTACTTCTTGTTTCTTTAGTCTTCTTTCTTTTATCCCTTCTTCCTGACTTCTGTCAGCATTTTACAAATATGACACGTTACACTAAAACAGTCTAAACCGGCATTTCACAAGCATTATTTCTTACCTAGGCTCTGGCTTTTACGATCTATCAGCATAGAACAATCTTTTTGTTGTCAACAAAAACAGGCAGCAGTTTGGCAGTAGCAGTTCCTAAAAATAAAAAAATTGATACATCCTTAATTTTTTCTCCCAACTAAAAATGCTCTTTTCAACTTTAACTGTTTTTTTTTTACTCTAAAAAAATTTTGTTGTTTTATCCTCGTTTGCCAAAAAAAATTTTTTTTTCTGCAGAACAAACAGCTTATCACATTTCACTTTTGAATTTCTTTATGGTTTAGAGAAAATGAAATGTTGTATTTTGAAAAAGTTAAAAAAAACCTTCATAAATTATCTTTTTCGACAGCAGTTGTTTTTTTTTTAATATATATTTTTCAATTTTCTCGCACTGAAAGTCTTGAAAAAAAAAAAAATTTTGAATAAAAATTTTAAAGCTTACAGTTTTTTCAAAAAGAACCTTTTTTCCTTCTTTTGCGCTTTAGAACCAATATTTAAAATTAATAAAAATTTTTTTGATAGTTAATTTCAGAAAGGTACTGTGCTTAAAAATGAAATTTATTGCTAAATTTTTTTTTTTTAATCACTACAAGAAGGACCTATTTCATTTTTGGAATTTTAAAAGCAAAAACAGGCGTTATTTATTTGTGCTTTCGAAGAAAGTCAAATTCTTGTTGTTTGCTTAATTTCTGCTTTCTTAACAATCTGTTCTGATAATTACTAAATTTTTTCTATCTTATTTATGACATTCGAGAAAGTGTTTTGTTTGAACACTTTTTTCCTTTAGCATTTATTAGAAAAAATCACAGAAAATTGTTATAAACGCCGCTTTTGTGAAGAGTAAATTTTGTTAATTAAGCTTTTTTTATTTTGACAACAGAAGTGTAGAAAGGTGCAACATTTTTTAAAATGACTTTTGCTTATCGGTTTACAAAACAAAAAAACAAAATGGCTATTTCAATAATTTATTGACATACACACACTGCTTTTGTCAACAATAAATTAACACTTATTTTGCTTTCACTTGCTTTTTTTTTTGCAGCAAAATTACCCAAAAATCTTTTTGTAACTGTTTTGTTTTCTTTTGAAATAGCAAAAATTTTGTTTAGATATGTTTTTTTTTTTTGTACTTTTTTCCGGTCTTTCTTCTGTAGGTTTTTCACTAATCAAAATCCGTTACGCTCATTTATTCAATTTGCTTTTCCAATTTGTTGATAGCTTCAGTTAAAAGTTGAATTCTTTTCCAGAGTAAAAAATTTGTGATGGTTAACAATGTTTTTCTGTTTTCTGTTTAGTTTAGCTTTTTCAAGAAATAAAGAATTTTAAGAGGGAAAAAAAAAAACAAGAAAAAAAATTAGTTTCATATTGAGTACATTTTTGACAATATATTATTTTGTCCACATTGAAAAACATTCATCTTTTAAGTTATAAACTGGTTTAAAAAAAACTGTTTCAACAGCTATCTTTCTTAAATGTTACCTTTTGTTTTTTCTTTTTTTACAGAAAAAAAATTTTACAAACATTTTTTCTAATAAAAAAAAAAAAGAAACTGATTGATATATCGCTTACGTTAATATTTGTTAACGTTTTTTCAAATAAGACGTTCAAAAGCTAATTTCAGCTGTGGTTTTTTCTTTTGTAACATTTTCAAAATGTAACATTCAAAATCAATCCCCTTCGATTCTAACAACTTTTTTTTTTTTTT